ACCAAAGACCAAGGCTTTGCGACACTGTATAAAGTCGAGGCTGATTGAAAATTTGATGACTAAATTTCAAAGTTGTATAATGTCTATCTATGTAATAAATCTAGGTCCCGAGATTACTCGACTCTTAGTCTAATTTTAGTCTCACTGACTCTATCTCTAGCCAAAACTCAAGGCTCTATATCTCTAGCCAAAACTCAAGGCTCTATACACGTCCGTCTAAATCAACGATTCATACATTACTAATTTATTAATACAGGTAAATAGAACTGACCGGAATGGCCGGTCAGGGTCAACATGATCATAGATAAAATAGATAACGAAACATAGATAATAAAGATTGTATTGATCATGGTAGCACATTTCATTACATCTATATCTCAGTGATAGTGCAGTTGGGAAGTATTGATCGAATAAACTAAGTTTTGAAACATCAGTTTTTGGTTCTTAGATAAAAATCTAAATCAAAGTTTCGTTTATCGCTGCTCTTTTAATTTCCCCGCTCAGTCAAATTTTGAGTTGAAAGCTAATTTCCGGTTGAATTGTATTGAGTAGGATAGTGAACATATAGATCTTATTCTTAATTAAACTTCCATATTTGGTGCTTCACCCCCTTCAGCTTGCACCCATCGTATCAAAACTTAAAATTAAATAAGTTTTCACATTTCATTAGTTTCGGGCATTTATCCGTTTCACTCTTACTCTACTGTAGTCTGTTCTATATAAGATAAATCCTTTATAATTTGTTTTATTTGAATGGTTTCTGAATAAAGAAAAGGATCTAGGATCTAGGATCTAGGATTTAGGATCTAGGATCTAGGAACGATCAACTTTTGATTTTAGATTATTTTGGTTTTGATAGTACAGTATTCGTTTAAACCAAAAAGTGTTAAAATGAAACAAGAATAAAATTCTTTTTCAATCAAATATAGGCAAGCATACAAACAAGTAGAACAAAAATAAACAGTGTTCAGCATTTATTTCAATACACTGATGACCACTGTAACAGCTGTAACAGACTACAGTGGTTAAAACTAATTGTATACATCCAGGATAACCCTCAAAGAATGGGCCTTTATTGACGACCTAAAATTATTTAAATATGAGGGTCTGCCTAGTGCCTACAATATTGAACATTAATTGTTTACTAAACGATTAGGCAATAGCACAGGAAGAAGCCAGTTCATAGTTTGGAGGAAATCATAAATTTCAGAAAAATGACTGAATAAATTCCGTACAGATCCTTCGTGAGTAAATTCTTTAAATGTTATGTAAAAACATCATTTTTTCAAGCAATACATTAAGCACATAAAACAGTGTCAAAGGAATTTATATTGATTGATAAAATGCTAAAACATGCGTTTAATTAGACTTTTTTCGCTGAATCTCACATTAAAACTCGACCTTTGATATTATAAATCTAGGATGACGGGTTATCTAAGTGATAAAAATAAACTAAGCAGTTTTTGTGCAAATATATTGGGTTTGTATTTTTTCAAGATTCATTAAAGGGACTGTATGCGTTATTTGAAGTGATCTTCTATGTAAAAAGGGACAACGGTAACCTTTAATCCTTGGACTGATCTAGGATGACAGACTTTTACTTATTTATCTATATAAACGCTTTTAATTTGTTAAAGTACGTGTACAGTCCATTTAAAGGAATTAGTCAGAGTTTTGAACATTATACCCAAGTAACATCATTTTAAAAGAAATTTAGTCAATACTTTTTAAAAAAAAGGCCTCTAAAAGAAAAAAAACTGTTAAGGTCTTCAGATATTAAGCAGCCATTGATTTTTAGAATATATTTATCATTCTGACCATATTATAAAAATAAACGGGATATATATATATGAGTGGTAATTTATGCCTTTTCACTAAGCAGTATTCAATGTATTAAGATTATAGTTATTACTGCAGTCCTTAACAATAGACACAATGACTTAAAGGACCGCTACGGACCGATGGTCATGGACCATACTTCACACATTATCAATGCCACCTCTTGCAATATCTCCGGAAGAGTGGCGAGGGGGGTGGGGTGGTAGGGCGGGCAGGGTTTAATTATCATCTAATGAAGGTATATTGTTGGTCTCTAACACACGGTGTTAGATTTTCACAAAACATTTGTTGTTGCCAGTTGAAGATTAAAAACAGGGTCGGTGCAACTACCCCCTAAAATTTACATGTCTCTTTCTAAAACTTAAAACCCATGTGTGTGTGGAAGATATAGTTTTTTTAAGCTAGAAAATTGTTTACTCCGTATAGTTTCCACTCTTTCGTTTTTCAGGATAAATGCGGGAGCCACTTTTGAATAGAAATCACAATTGTATGAACAATGAATTTTCAGAGACAAGAATAGGACATCTTATTCATCCTTGACCAGATAAAGCTATAGGGTACCGTTGGGTTTCGGACACGCCTCTATTAATGGAGAGTTAATCGAAATTACTACTACAAGCTCTTTCATTTTTTTTTTTGTAAATTAGGCCATTCGTTTTGTCTCATTAAAATTTTTACTTTTCGGATAACCCGATCATAAAATTAACTTTTTAAAAACTCGGTCAACAAGTGAAATATGTAGAATCATTGATTATTAAAAAGTATAATGGGTTTCTTGGTGAAGATCGAAAATGTCGATAAATTATTTTAATTTATCCGTGTTTGTAAATTGATTTTACCCTCTAAAATATTTAGACACAAACAAAACATATGGGGGTTTACCAACATATCCAAGTTTCAGAATGGAGTTTCAAGTCTTAAATGAAAATTTAGGTTTCAGCATGGACCTTTTCTCATTTATAATTGTGGTGAAGATTTTCTTATTTAGGAATTATCCTCAAAAATGATTTCATTAAAGTACTGCAAAAGATTTCGGTATTCACTCCATAATTTAAAAAATTTTCATGAACGTTCATTTTTCAAATGTTAAAAGCGTCATATTTTTATCACAATTAATATAATAACCCATTTTTAAGAAGGTGGGGGGGGATTATTTTAGAAATCATATCTATCCCTGTAAGTATATCTTGACAGATGTGAAATGTTTGTGTTTGTATCCTTCTCTATAGTTTATCCTCTGGAGTTTAACTAATTACTCACAACACTCCTTTGCTGTCACTCATACCCCCCCCCCATACCACATCATACATCTCATCCTACTTAATTTAATTGCTGATTATAAGACCTCTTCTTCTATGTAATCCGGCACAGGAGGGAACTCAAGGGATGGAAAATTACAACTTTTCTGACAAAAGAAATGATTGTTTTCTTAACGACGAAATAAAACGAAAAGGCAGGTTCATAACGATCTGTTACATATCCCGTTCACATTGTTATCTTAATCCCTTTATCGGATTAATATTGTGGAGGATATCGTCGTTTTTCTGTCTGAAACACTGAACATATATTAATTTGTTCTCTACCGCTGGTCACTTTATAATGAACAGAAATTAAAGATAATCAATTCTCAGATTGAAAACAAGGATAACTCAGTCAAAATGCTCTGTAAAGCTGAAGAGCAAAATCACGCCTTCTACTGCACGGGTCTCTGATTACTTCGGGTATTTAAGCAAACGTTTTAAATCTGAATAGATAGCATGCCTTTTTATTATATTTAATACAAAAATAATAAATTTTCCGAAATTTCACAAATATTTTTTTTTTATTCATGACCGCGTTTAGGAATCTTGTGAGTCGAATATTTGAATACACAATCATCATTGACTTATCTATTATAATAATTTTATCGTTTCTTAATTCCTTTATTTCTTGAGACAATGGCCGACACCCTATCTAATACTCTGCCCCTTACAGGTGAGCCCCTAGTCCCTTTAAATTTACAGATTACAGGTGAACCCCTAGGTGGAGCCCCTAGGCCCTATTTAGGGCAGGTGTTACAAGTAACTCGACACTAACTATCTAACATACACCAGTTCTTACATTATGTCAAAGGATGTATATTCGTGATTTTAGGGCATCCTATAATATTCTAGAATAGCATTTAAAATTACTGTTTAAAAAAAAGAAGAATTAGATTTGTTGATTGTTGACGTCTTGTAAATCTTTCCCAAGCAAACAGTTGAAATATCAAATTGAAAAATTAACCAAAGTTTAGATTATTTAATGGTTTCCATGTTATGTTACTCTCTCTGTACTAAAAATGTGAGGCCCACGTACCTCCTGATCTGCAGGGTTAACACTAGTTTTCAGGCACTGTTTGTCTGTTAAATATATTGACGTCTGTCTAGTGTTGACTCTAATGGGATAAACTAACTATTAATTTAAAAAGAACAAGACTGTATATTGTTCTACTAGATAACTCTTCAATTCAACAAAACTGAGTTAAAAGAGAATGAGGCATATCTTTCAATGAAGTTGCTTACCCTTATAGTTAGTAAAATTGCGGTAAGATCAGAATGGCTCTGTTACAATTTCTAAGATTACATTTACTATATAAATATAGTTTCCTAATATTTATTCAAAAGCTCAGAGCTGAAAACTAAAGAATGGTGGATAAAAAGATTAATGCTTGATCTCCTCTTTTTCTTAATCTCCAGATTAAATTATGGTTGCTCTCCTCTTGTTATTAATCTCCAGATTAACCGATCGGGATTAAGGATATCCCATTCTAAAGTTTCCAGCTCAGGTCTCCTAAAGAATATTTCAAACAACTGTACTGCAATCAAAACATAAACAAACCAGAGATAAAATCTAGTAGAGGCCATTCCTTTTAATATTACAGTGGTCGACAAAATAACGTCCTCTCAATTGTGGTCGTTTGAATTTTGCGTGAGACATCTAGGCCCTAGGGCCTATCCTCCTCCAAAGTACGACCACTGTTCATACATTATTAGGGAGAGAACGGGCTCTAGCTGACAATAAAGTTTAAAACTAGAACTTTCCTTATTATCATCATTCTTGAAACTAGATTAAAAATGATTCACAAAAACGATCTCGAAATCATCTCTCAATTCAACAATTCAAATTAACAAAAGATATAATTACATGACAGATTTCACTTTTATTTCTCAATTAAACTTCACAAGCAGAAGAGAATAAAAAAATATTTAATCATCATCTTCCTCTGAACTCCTCTTCTTCCTCCTTCGAACCTTGGTGACGAGTTTCTTCAAGAACGCTTCAGTGTCCTCATAAACAACCTGAACAGTTCAATTATTAAGTTTTCAACAGTTAAAGAATTCAAGAAATTCAAAAAAAATATTTTCATTCAAATTTAACACTAGTTAAAGGGAGTGACCGGCTATGTAAGGTAGTTGAACTGAGTATGAAGTGTTAAGAAAAACTTCTTTCGGATTCATTTGAGACATATTAAACTTTTTAAAGATATTTAAATCCTGAGCTTGAGCGCAAATTCGACGTTCAAAACTCCTACTTTCGGGATGGATACGTCTTCTGAATTAGTTTTTTTTTAATTATTAAATAACGACAACGAAAAATAAAGTAAAAATTTTACAGTTATCTAATTAGATGGTTAGGAACATCTCAAAAGAAATTTGTCAAAAATTCAATGCTAAAATTATATTGAATTTCTTATTTTCTTTGAATTTATTTGCAGATTTCTTCAAGTTCTTCAAATGTCGTCTTTTCAATAATATTCTAGAAAATCCGCAGAAAATCTTTGTGAATAATGAGAAACCAGAATAATGAGATAATAGAAACTAATAATTGAACAAGATTACTTATTTTCGCTAAAAAGATTAATTTTTATTTTCTCAACATGTTCCTATACATGACGTCTGTAGTGTATTGTAGAACTTTTTTACATTTTATGTCGTCGTTAATTAATAATTAAAAAACTCACTCTGAAGACGTATCCACCCCCAAAGTACGAGTTTTGAACGTCTAATTTGCTCTCAAGCTCAGGATTTACAGATCTTTAAAAAGTTTAATATGTCTCAAATGAATCCGAAAAAGTTTTCCACAACACTGCATACTCAGTTCAACTACCTTACATTGCCATTCACTCCCTTTAATATCTTATTATATTTTGATTTAATAATAGTTTTTAATAAATTTAAATTATCTTTTTAAAAAAGTGATCTTCCTCTGTAACGGTTATTTGTCAAAAATGCGATGTTTTCGGTCCACATTTTAACATATTATCAAATAAATAAGTTTTATCTTAGTTCCTCTAAAATCTACATATCAACTGTAATATGACGTTTAAAATCCAAGCAAATTTAATCAGACTTTTATGGACGCCCTACTTCCACGTTTAAGTTTCAACGTCCTTATTAGGACGGAAACAAAAAAGTTGTATTTTAATGACAAATTAAAGAGGGGGAAATTGCAGACCTCCTAATATGATCAAATATTTATGATGGGAATAAAACTTAAAATTAACTCTAGAAGAAAAAACTGCTTAAAGCCAAGTCAATAATTTTATATTTTTTATTGTGTTTTCCCTGCAAAACTAATTTTTAACAATAGGTTTAAAATCTGTTGCTGTTTTACATTAAATTTAAAAAAAAATGGATTTAATATCTCATAGTTACCTTATATTCTCTTGTAATATCCTTAAAATCTCCATCCTAAAATTTAAAAATAAATTTCTCTGTGACTTACAAAAATTACAAGGAACTAAAAACACAAAAAGGCAACTTTCAGTGTTGTAAAAAAAATAACATAATAATGGAGTCAATTAAAGTATAGAAAAAGAAATTAAATTGCCTTTTTTCTTTGCTCACAGTCTCATCATTGTGGCAGGGCTTCATACAAATAGTTATTTTAAGTTTCGCAACCAGTTAATTCAGAAATATTTTGTTTATATTAACTTAATTATTATAATGTTTGGAATTGGGATATTTTTAACGCGCAATATGAGCCTTCAGGGAAAATGAAATATAAAAAATAATAAATACATAAATTCAAGAGGTAAGACTAAGATTGCGTTTTTTTCTCACAGGGATGAGGGGGTATTTTTGGAAGTATTAATCCCTGTTATGGACAAATAACTGAAGAAAGAACATAAATAATCTTACTTGAATATAGTCCTTGATGGGCGGAGAAAGTGTAGGACCCCTAGCTGTAAATGGAATTAGATCTGGATCAAACTGACAAGCTGCAAGATACAAGTCCAAACTTTCCATTCTAAAATAAACAAAATTTATCAAAATCGTCATAAATCAACTGAAAATCAGAGTTGGGAACTGTAGATGAGAAAGGGATAGTTGAACAAGCTTTACTGAGTTCAATTGCTTTTTTCTGTTCATAAGTTCACTTAGGCGGCTTTGAGAACGGTGAAATTAATGGATAAGATGTAGATGTCGGTACAGTAAGTTGAACAAATTCTTCTGAGCTGCCATATCTCAACTACTAACTAGTGGTTGAACTAGGTGCACCTAGTTGAACTAGCCTCACCAATCCAAACTGCCTCCCACGATTGGTTTGTAAATGTTTAAATTACCTGAGCTGATCTAATGCTTCTTGCTGTGCTAAAATCTTAGTATCTAATTCATAAATCTCATTCCTGTCATATTGTTTCTTTTCTTTTCCAGTAAATAAGAATTCTCAAGTGATTCATAAAAAATCACAGATCATTTTGAATTCTGGAATTCGTGTAAACGACAACTCTAAATTTCAAAATGAAACTATTTATTTGGACTTGAAAAAACAATAAATTCCTGTGTCGGTTCTGCGCATACAGCGCCCAGTCCTTAAAGAAATAGTGTCTCTCCTCCCTGAAACATGAGAGAAAGAATTATTCAATGATTTTATAAATCCACTTTCAACAATTGCAATTTTAACCACTAGATGCTAAACTGTTAAATTATTAATGATGTATATTTTGTTGTCCGCCGAAGTGAGAAAACTTTTATATTTGCAAGAGCATTTTTCATCTTACGCTTGATTGTCTTTACGTTTTAAAAGAGTGCAAAAAATATTTGTAAAAACTTAAAATGATGATGCAAAATTAAATATTTTCAGTTATCCTATATTTAAAATACTAAATGCCCTATTAATAACGGTGACCAATGAAGCTTTATCTGAGTTACAAATGATATTGTTGTTTTTATAAAGTGGGTGTCTCCATCATTTTGTTTAAGGAGTACCGTTTTGGTTCTAAGTTTATATTTCACTAGACCCACCTGATATCCTATAGAACCTGTAAGTTCCTGGTTCTAGATTTATATTTCACTAAACCCACCTGATATCCTCTGGAACCTGTAAGTTCCTGGTTCTAAGTTTTGATTCAGAAAATAGAACTTGAGGAACCTCTAGCTCTATAACAGGTTTAGGCTGCCTCTCCTTCTTCTCCATTTTTCTAAAACAAACATTTTAAAAATAATTTTCCTACAAACTCTTTTTTTAAAATTGGTTTTTATCAGTAAATCACAAAAGCAAACTATGACTTTTTGGGTAAGGAGTGTTAGAAACTCGGTATAAAACGAGTTTCTCTACCATAAAAAATGCATTGAACATTAAGACAAATAAAGTTTTAAATGTAAAATTCTGATAAAAATCATGCAAAGGGGATGGAGGAGATGTCCTGGTTGATGAGGGGGGTGGGGGTCCCTTCCTTCATTTTCGGTTCAAATCTTCCAATCTTTTGGAAGATTTGAATTGAAGGCAGCAGTGTTTCGGATCCATATCATTTTGATTCGGATCCGGATCCGGATCCGGATCCGAGGTAACTTTTGATTCTGTGAATCGGATTTTCCCTATTAAATGTTATGCAAGGTTATAATTTATAAACTATATTTATTATATATTCCGAAACCGGGCGAAATGTAGCAAAAAAAAATAAAAAAAAAATATAGACATTTTGATTTATTTATTCCATGGTTTTGGTTAATTTTTGGCGCTACCCGGATCCATATCAACGTTTCCTGATCCGGTCGGATCCGGATCCGAAACACTGGAAGGCAGGGACCTCCCCCCTCCTCATCAAACAGGACATCTCCTCCATCTCCTTTCGTAAAAAAAATTCAAACTATTAAAAATTTGTGTATATATAATTTATAACGATAAAAAGTACAAATATTATGTATAAGTTAATTACCTTAAAGCTTTAGCCAGCCTTTTTCTTCTCCGGTCATCTTTAACCTTGGTACTCCCTGGATCCGTTCTTCGTTTCTTCTTTGTAACTCCACCACTCCACACATCTACATATATACTTGTCAGTTTGCTTGTTGGGTTGTTTGAATAACAACAAAACGGTTGAACCAATCCGGCCCAGTGACCCAAAACGGGCTTTGTAGGTAAAAAAAATCTTGCATTGAAAAAATGTGGTTTTATAAGTTGATTAGAAATTCAATGAAAACAGAAAAAGTTGGTTAAATGATCTTTCAAGAAAATAGAGGCTTGAAGAGCAACATTTAAAAACTAAAATTGATACTATAAGAGGCGCGAAAAGTCAATATGATTTAGAAACAAAAATAACTATTTCCCACAATTTTTTTATTTTAAGGTTAAAAACCACTAGAAAATATCAAATATCCTGCAATGTTGTTGTAAACAAATGAAATTTTGATGTTTGAAAAAAAAGTCCAAACTTACTTAAAATGTTCACAATAACACAGACAATGTATTTTCCTATTTTTAAGTATTATTTTCCTGATCAGATTACAAAAAGATCAAAGGTTGAAATTTTTTCTTTACTTCTGAAACAAAAACGCAAAAAATCGCGAAAAAGTTGCCTATTCCCCTAATCCCTATCCTATGTCAAATCATAACAGATCTTATATATCCAACTCACACTTTTTTAATATGATAATGATAATGATAATAATAATAAAAAGAAAAAAGATAGAAGGTCAAGTTCTAGGTTGTCATAAAAATCTATGATTTTGTGGGTAACCCTAGACATGTGATACAAGGAGTGAAATATAGAATTAAATGAGGACCTTCTCGGTCATGGATCATTTGTTTTCTGGGGTCACCACTTTAGAGGTACAGTTATTGCTTATAGTTGTAAATACATGATAAGTAACGAGTATATAAAAGGAGAGGACAATGAGTAGGTCTTCTACGGTTCCAGGATCCGACACTACTCATTTTCAGATTTTATAATCCTCTTTCGGGGATTTCTTCCTCTACAACCTAAGCTTTTGATATCTGTTTTGTTTCAATATCGCAACCAAACCTTCATCGTTACATTTTTAACAAGCTATCGATATTGTTTGTCATGCTTTGAGACGCTTTTTCGTCTTTTCAGTTTTTACTTTCCTTTTGTTTTCTGACAATTTTTGCTTTTTTTTGAAGAATTAAAATGACAAAAAATTGTCACCTGTTAGCTTGAAATTATTAATGGTAGAAGTATGGAAAGCGGACACAGGAAGCTGCAAAGATCTAAAAAAAATGTCAGAATTTCATGATAACAATATTAACATCGCAACAAAACCAAAAATGCACACACAGCCTTAAAGGGACTGTACGCGTAATTTTAAGTGACCCTAAATCCAAGATACCAATGCCCAATTTACAACGGTTTCATGAAACCTTTGAATATTCATCAAGGACAGAGAACACCCTGTTTATATCTCCAAAATATCATGCTAATTTCCGTAAATACAGAGTGTACACTGGTGTACAGTGTGAACTCAACATAGCTGACTGTCCGATTGTGTCCCTCGCAAATACAGAATATTTTACGTCACATGTAGTTTTCTCAAATTCGAAAAAAATCCCGCATCCTTTCAGTCAAAAGTTTAAAGGGTACTCAACAAATACAGAAAATTTGAAATCAAAAAAAGGATTTCAAAGTCCTATTAAAATAAAACTTAAATAAAGAATAATTAAATATTTAAAGATTTTATAAATCCACCTAAATACAATAATCAAAAAGAGTACAAAAGTTCAATCCTTTTTGTAAAAGATTTGTAATTGTCCATATTGAATAAATTTAATATCATCATTTTAATTAGATTAGATCATTTCTTGATTACTGAAGATCATAATTAACATTTAGAATATTACCGCTGATAGGTTCTACTGCAGAGAGATAATCTTGATACAGAGGAAATTAAAGAATTCATTTCAAAAAATCTGAAATTTAAATGCAAATATCATCACAAAAACAAAACTAAGGTAGCAATAAAACATGACGATTGAATAACAATAACAAAACAAAATGTAGAATTTTGGCACTAGAGAGAGATTCTTAGTTCTAAGCTAAACTGGGTCATTTTGTAAAAAATGCTTTTATCACTAAAACTGAACGATATATATATATTTGTAAACAAAACTCACCAGATATTTGTGTTAACAATTGAGATAAAAAAGTGTAAATTTTTGAAGTACTCATAAATTAATAAAATTATATCAAAATAGTTTCAAATTAAACTAAATTGTGGAATGATACAGATTACATTAGTATAAGGATCACTGACTTTTCACAAGTAGAAATATTGGCAAGATCTTTTTTCTCTTATTTGTGGGTAAAGTGTTAGACAAAAAGGACATTCTACTTGATCCAATTCTATCCAATTTTACGAATATTAAAGTACTTTAAAATTGCATGCTCTGTCAGAGTCAACTATCAACATTTATTATATTGTAATAAATGCAAAGTAGAGCTTATAATTTTAAATAATTTAAAAACTTGCATATTTCAAAGATAAAACCGAATCAAACAGAAAGCCCACAATAGGAATGTTGTGACTTATTCATCTATCTATCTATCTACTGAATGAGGTTTCGGACTGATATGAAGTGCTCTACGTATTTGAAGGATTTTATAATCTTGATTTTGGAAAACTTTCTTGAATGGTTTTCCATCTTTCCAGAGAACAGGGCACACAGCAGGCCTGGAATAAAAAGTGTTTCTTTCTTGAAATCAGTTCTTTAAAAAATCATAATAGATCTGGCAATAGACAATCAAAAATACGACTGGATGATATCTTTTCTTAAACATTTTAAAATGATGTTTGAAGTTTTGGAAAGCAATGAAAAGGATTACTTCAACCTTAAGATACAACCCCCCCCCCCAGCCAAAAATCTTTCTAATTTTCTCTCCAAGCTAATATTCAAAAATAGAAAAAAGATACTTTAGTATATAATTAACAATCCACACAAGTTCTTTAAATAAAATATAAAGACTTTGAAAATATTTTTCTGTACATTTTGCATTTAAACACCTCCAATCCTTCTTAAAAAGAAAGAAAAAATTGAATAGAATACCTCTGAATATTCTGAATATCCTCTAGATCCCAGAGCTCCGGTATAGCACATCCACCACGTTCTATACTTAAACACCAGCTCCTAGCTAGGACCAGATAATCAACCTTAACAATCAACCATCATATACAGAGCTCCAGTATACCACATACACCTCATAGACCACCAACCTTGATATCCTCCAGGAGTTTATAAACCTCCTTGAACTCCTACCTTAATATCCTCCAGGAGTTTAAAAATCTCCTTGACCTCCTACCTTGAAGTTCTCCAGGAGTTTATAAACTTTCTTGACCTCCTTACGTAATATCCTCCGGGAGTTTATAACCCCCTTGACCACCTACCTTGATATCCTCCAGGAGTTTATAAACCTCCTTGACCTCCTACCTTGATACCTTCCAGGAGTTTATAAACCTCCTTGACCTCCAACCTTGATATACTCCAGGAGTTTATAAACTTCCTTGACCTCCTACCTTGATATCCTCCAGGAGTTTATAAACCTCCTTGACCTCCTACCTTGATACCTTCCAAGAGTTTAAAAATCTCCTTGACCTCCTTCCTTGAAGTTCTCCAGGAGTTTATAAACCTCCTTTACCTCCTACCTTGATATCCTTCGGGAGTTTTTAACCTCCTTGACCACCTAACTTGATATCCTCCAGGAGTTTAAAAACCTCCTTGACCTCCTACCTTGATATCCTCCAGGAGTTTATAAACCTCCTTGACCTCCTACCTTGATATCCTCCAGGAGTTTATAAACCTCCTTGACCTCCTACCTTGATATCCTCCAGGAGTTTATAAACCTCCTTGACCTCCTACCTTGATATCCTCCAGGAGTTTATAAACCTCCTTGACCTCCTACCTTGATATCCTCCAGGAGTTTATAAACCTCCTCGACCTCCTTCCTGGAGAAGACCGAGTAAACTGTCTTGGTTCTCTCCCTCGAACCGACATCCTCGTAGTGAGGATGATTCACAATTGGTCGCTCTAAAATGATTTTCAGGATTATGATACAAAATCTAATTTTAAATGTTTTATTGCTATGAAGTTATAACTTTTGGTTAGGACAGCGCTTAGCCACGTCGACTTACTCAATCCAAAGTGTTAACTTTTGAATGATGAGTTTTTAAGTTTAGATACACAGGAAATCCACATAGAGGTAATCAAGAATTGATGCAAAAAAAATGCAGGCGCCTTAGATTACACCACTAGGGGACGAGAAACCGACTAAGCTCTGTTTAGAACAGATTCAAATTACTTTGATTTAGACCTCAAGGTAAATCAACTTACCAGTGGATAGCAGTAGGTTTGCCATTGTCGGCATAGGTCCCGCGAAAACAGCATTTGTCGGTGTATTCTTCATTATCCATTCAAACATCTCCTCTGTAATCAATATTTATTAGTTATTTTACTTTGTTTTTAATTAAATTGTATCTTCCAATCCAAGCTAAAACTATCTAAAATTGAAAAATCATATTATTAAATAGATTATATTGAATTAAAGTATCTGTTTGAAAAATAATACAATTCAAACATTTTTTGAGAAGAAAAAGGTCGAAAAACTCAGAAAATTATATTTAAATAAATTAATAATCCTTGCTTGTCAAAATATCGTAAGATAAGATAGGATCTGAAAACCCCCCATCGGGGCTAACTTCCCCATTGGGATAATTCATAAAACTTAAATTATTTCCAGTTAAGTGTGCCCCCACCCTCCACCCTTCCGGCGTAATATATTTAAAGTAATTGCAGAACTAAAACTAACCTAACTGCGGATCTGAATACTCTCCAATAATGTTCCACTGTTCTTTAATATTTTGTGCACCCTGAACAAATAACATTATATGCTTAAATATCTTAAGTATACTTTAAAATAAAAAAGCTTCACGATTAAATCCACAATAGTTTGGTTACCCCTGGATCCAGTGGTAAAATATCAACCAAACTACAGGGTTTCTTTTATGTTCTCAAATAAACAGACTGATCCTTAACCAAGAATAGGTTTAACAAAATTGTCCCAGAGGAGCTAAAATTTGCTTTTTTAGATCTATTAACCATTTTTAGTTTTTTGCTTTATCTATTCTTGTTTCAGGGCCACTGTGCACAATACACATTACACAACTTCAAGATTTCAGAACTTTTTTGCTATGAATCTCAGGATCAAGCATTGATCTCCTCTTATGCAGATCAAAGGATTAATTTTATTCCTTTACGCAGGGATAACTTTAATTGACAGATTTAGCATTTCTCCCCAAATTTACAAGTGTCCACATTGGATATCAAGATCAACGTTCAAGATTAATAATGCGTAACACAAACGCTCGTAAGTTTCAACATCAAAATTTATAATGTTAAAAAAATATTCGAGATATTTTACCTTGCAAAAAAATCATTAACCTTAAAAGATATATATGAGCTGGATCTGAATCAAACGGTTCCAAACATCTTGGATTGATTTAATAGTATTTCTTACTAGTAAGCTTTTCAGAAAACAGGAAACAATTACCTTAACACCCATACTGGCCAGCAGTACAACAATAAAACCGGTTTGTAACTCCCTAAACTCAATATTCTTAAATCAAATCTTTTAGTCAGGTGTTTAATGGTTTCATTTAAATTTTTATCATAAAATATGTTACATGTAGTAAAATTTTTTGCTGAATCTGTGGCCGAATTTAAAGAATTTGAGCGGCGGTTTAAATTTAAGCCGCGGTTTAAATATGGTTGGTTCCACTTAAAATTTTATCAAATGTTTCAAGATTTAAGCCGGTGCTTAATTTAAACCGGGTTTTGGCGGATTTAAACCGCTGCTCAAATTCTTTAAATTCCATCTCAGGACTTTTAAGTGAAAACCTAAGATTTAAAAGGGATAGAAAAACATTTGAACGGGAAAAAAGATAAGAATCTCGATGAACTTTCGGAACAACAAAAATTTGGGAGACGTTGACTATTGAAAATTGAAAGTTTACAATTTGTAAGTACGATGTAAATTGTAAATTGCATTAAAAAAGCCAATCGTCAAACTTTACAATCTTTGTTCTCTGCTCGTAACACCAGATGAATAGCGAAGTCACAGTTGAGCCACGTAGACTAAGTTAAGCCACTTCTATTCAGTTTGACCCGGTGCACAAAAAAGTGGGTTAACAACGTCTATGTGGTAAAATTATTTAATGAACTATTAAAATGCCTGGTAAACAAATCAGACTTAAGAATTGCCTGGAGTTAAGTTTGCTACAGGTTGGTAGAGCTGAGCTGATGAGGGTGGGAGATGCAAGCAGGGAGCTTAGAATACATAGTTGAGGAGTTAGAAACAGTTTCAGTCTGGATACACACAACTCAACATTTTACGATATTAAAACAAGAGCTGCGATTGACAATGCCAGTCCGAAATAAATTTAGCTTTTATTAGATGTACAAAAACTTCCCTTATTAAATGGGAACTGATCAGTGATCAGTGCTCATTTGCCACTTTTTTAAATTTCCATATATCTTTGCAACTTGATGTAGAACTTAACATAATTTTTCAAATTCAAATTACAGTGCGTAATAACTTCCAAAAAGATGTATCTTAAAACGGATATTTAGTGCTGCAGGCAACATTTTTGTAGTGCAGTTTCCAGTATTATGGCACTGGCTAAGAAGTTGGACTTTTTAGGTATATATATATAGACAAGTTGTTAAAATAATGTTAAATACATGTTAAATGTTGTTCCTCATGATCATAATTGCTAGAGCAGCGTAGGCAACAGCTTGCAGCACATTGTAAACAACAGCAGGGTCCACGGTTATAACCTAAATGATATGAAGAATAAAATATCAATATAATCATTGATATGAATTACGGGAATTTTTTTTATTTTTTATTTATTTATTTTCGCACAAAAAGGTTATGGTACAGATATATAAAGGTTATGATTATAAAAACAATAATTACCTCTTTTGACCCGTCAAATACTGATTTCATTGCCCTTTATACCAGGAGACAATAAGCCTTGTAAGAAGTAATCAATAAAAAAATAAGTTAATCTAAATGAAGTCTAAAATCCAAATTTTATCAAACATTGGTTGACTAGTTTTACCAGAAGTCAAGTTAAAATTGAAATTTTTTTTGTTGCCAACATTTTTTAAGCGACTTTCATTTAAAAAGGTTCTTGCCCGACTCACAACGGTACCCTTGAAACCTTAGTCTGGTCAACCATGTGAAATATATCGCCGCGTCGTGTATAGTTCGAACAATTTCCTCCATTGTTTCTAAAGAATGTATTCACAAAAGTCTTTTAAAGAGAAACCACAATTTAAAATGATCAATTTTCAAAGAGACAAACAACATACTGAATCTCGGTTTACACAAAGCTTTCATGGGAAGTGGAGTGAATCAGACATTCCACTCTTTAAATGGATGATCTCTTGAAATTAAGCCTGGTTGTAAAACTAAAAAATTCGATGAAATTTAGGAATTGAATAAAAAGTGTTAAGTTGTACTGTACAGCCTGCCTTGCTAATAGAAGAACGACAAGAATGACCGCTACAACAGCTGCTGGTAGTAGCAGGGTCAAACTGATCTTGTAGGGCATCTCCCAACCCAAGAAATCAAACTCTGATCAAAACATGTTATTTCATTTTTGATGAGAATATCACATAATAAAAATTATCAGCTGCAGATTTGATAAAACAAGACATGCTGAATTCTTTAGCAAAGACAAGCAAGAAAAAGGCTGAAATATGTTCATTATTTAGTCTCAAATATTTGATGACAAGATTTATTTGGTAAAACATATGTTTCCCTGCAGCACATGTATACAGCTGAGTGTTAAAGTTTTTGAAATCAGAAAACTTGGATTTGAAAATTTCAAAAACATGCGCATCATCCTGAAACAACAAAAATATGATTAAAACTCATGTGAACAACAAAATTATGAGGAGAGCGGGTATGAGGAAAATTCATGAATAAAAATTACTCTTGTAAATATAATACCTGGACTAGAAGCAACCTAGATAAAGCGAGTTTTGCTCCAACTGTCAGAACAAGAAATAGAACACCCTGAAGAAAACATTATCAACCATCAGATAGTGATAGTTGTCAGTTCTTTAACAAACAGCAATAAGAATATAAAAAAATAACCATTCGATAGCAAAAGCAAGTCCAACTTAAAACATAGCAAAATTGACAAAAACAATCGATTAAAAAACAAACAACATAAAAGGGACCAAATATTAGAGCAAAGAACAAAACAAACATCAATAAAGATAAGAATAACACTATTAATAACAATACAAATAAAAGTAACAGTAACAGTAACAATAACAGTAACAGTAACAGTAACAGTAACAGTAACAGTAACAGTAACAGTAACAGTAACAGTAACAGTAACAGTAACAGTAACAGTAACAGTAACAGTAACAGTAACAGTAACAGTAACAGTAACAGTAACAGTAACAGTAACAGTAACAGTGACCGTAACAGTAACAGTAACAGTAACAACAACAATTAACAAATGGCACAAACAATATAAACGTACAAGCAAAAAGCAAGAACAAGAATAGGACAAATAGACATATAGAACAAAGCAAAACCAAGAACAAAACCAAGACTGGATAAAGGCAAGAACAGGAAAAGTAACCCTGAGCAGACCTGAGTAGGAACCCGTAGAAGAGAAGGAAGATGGTTGAGCACTCCATCCAGGAGTAGGACTAGGAGAAGGGAGGAGAGCAGAGAGGAGAAGAACCAGGAGCAGAACAACATCTCGTTACCAAACATCAGGGCTACAGAGTGTAACAATCCTATCAACTTGAAGAAAACAATTATTTTCAGCTTTCAATGATGATGTAAAAGATGAAATTTTGAATAAATTCTTAATTCTCATTTATGATTGCCAATATAAAATCGAAATAAATTAATTGAATGTACTTCGCCCAGGTTTAACTGCACAAGGAAAGTTTGGATTCTGCCTATTACAAATGCACTGTTAAATCTACACGAAACTTCAACTTCTGTGCTCTATTAAAGTTGTTTAGAAAAACGACAGACAACATACTATTACTTTTATTATTATTATTTTATAAGATAGTTACCAGTGAAACTATAATACTAGAGAATACATCTTTATGCAGTAAACCCAAGATGTATAAAGAGAAGACTGCCGCACATTGTGTAAACAGCATAAACTAAAAATATATCTATTGAAAATCCAAAAAAAAAAACCAAATACAATTTGCAAAATAATGTTAGTAAGAAAAAGATTGTATTAATTCCAAAGAGTGAACTAAACATATGCAGGGGTGTATATTAATTGCGAGACTCAAATTTTTGCCTCCCCCCACCCCTTTCATAATCATATTTTTTTAATTTTAATAGTATAATGGAGCGTCTTGGTGCCCAAAAAAGGTTAACTTTAAGGTCCCCTCTGAGTTTTTTTTTAAAGCGTTTATAACTGTTTTTTGATTTGTTTTTTTGTGCGTGGTTTTTTCCCTTCCCTCTTCCCCCATTTCCCTTCCCTCCCACTTTCTCCCTTCCCACTTTCCCCCTCCCCATTTTCTGTTCCATCTTGCACCATATTCCCGTCACCTTTCTCCTATCCATTCCTTCTTCCCCTTTCCCGTCCCCCTTCCCCCTTTTCCCTTCCCCCTTTTCCCTTTTTTCTTCATTTTTTCCCCCAAACTCAATGAAAGGTCATATTTTTGACCCCCCCCCCGGGGGGGGGGAGGCAAACAGAAAAATATACACCGCTGAAAATATGTCTTTAGTCCAATACTTGAATACTTAAACTCGTGGTAGTTTTTATCAAGAAAATGTTATATTACTTTCATTATCTTTAAGTGAATCAAGTCAAAAGTTTGTGGATTTGCCCACAAAAAATCAAAATTGCTATGGATTTGTAACCTTGTGCTTATAATAATAAAAATACATTAATCAGTGGTAAAATTGGTTAAAAAAAGAAAATATTTAAATTTAAACCTGTGCAAACTGCCAGCAGAGTATAAAGGCGGAAGTAGAGAACGCTGTAGAGAACAGATTCTTCCAGTTCGGACAAACTGATCTTGTGGTTATACTGACAGACAAAATCTGGAATATGGACCAGCTGATCTTGTTGTAATACTTACAGACAGAATCTAGGGCCTGAGACCGGATATAAAGGGACTGTAAATGTAATTTGAAGTGACCCTCCATTCAAAGTTGGCAATCCCCCATTTACAACGGTACCCTTGAAACCTGAATCTGATAAAAAATGTGGCAGATACCATCGTATTTCTAACTTGGAAAAGTGTTTATTTCTGCGAGTTTCTCTATTGCTTCTAATAAACAAGAAAGACGCAAGTCACTTTCTCAGAAAACCGCAAATAAAAATTACATTTAAAAAAAAAAACATAGATATCTAATTAATACCTGATTACGGCAAAGCTTTCAAGGGCACCGTTGTAAATCAGACATTGACATCTTTGTATGTCCGGTCATTTGAAATTACGCTTACTTTACACTTTACAGTCCTTTAGATTAATAGTGAGAGGCAGTTGAACCTTGTAGACGTAGTTGAACCACTTCTCTTGCTAATAATTAACTTGAGCTGAAACTTCAAAATTGGATACACTTAATCCTGATCGCTTAATCTGAATATACACTGTGGAAACTTTTGATTCTCTTGTTAATCCTCTCGTTTGGATATCCTGCTGGGTTCCGACCAATGAGAATTCAGTACGTAAAATTTCCCGGCTTCTGATTGGCTGTTCGGTTTACGCAAACGACACTGTTGGTTGAAATTTAAACAATTACCTGAAGAAGGCAGATAGGAAAGTGATTTTCTGTAAAAGGTAGATAGGAAAATAATTACCTGTAGAAGGCAGATAGGAAAAGCAAAACTCTCTCTAAGAGGCGGAGTCCACATTACTCGGGTGCATTCGCCGTGGTTGAAAAAGAAACACAAGGAAGCAAGAAGACCTCCCATAATAGAATCTAACAACAAAATCAATTAAAAAGAACTAGACTGATTTTTCTTAAATGTACGACCATTTTTTTTAATTTATGATATTCATACAATAAACCTAAAAAGTTATGATTATTTATAAACTTTTGACAGATACAAAATAGTCATACAATCAGACACTGTTCCTGAGTGTTCAGTGTTCATCGACGTTTAGAAAGTATTTAAATTGAAAAACAAGGAATTACTCTGTTGAAAACTTACCATTGTACCTCTGATAAGTCCTATATAAAGGGAGTGTTCGCGAAAAATGAAAGGATGAGTCAGGCTGAATCACTATCTTCTAAAAGACGCACTAGATAAAAGTAAAATTAGATCGAATCCGACTTTTTAGGATTCAGCCATACAATTACTTCATTTTTCGCGAACAATACCTTTTAAAAAGCAAATATTGAATAAACCTGATAAATATACTCCAAGAATAAAGAGAATTGAAACTGTAGCACCAGCACACAACCATACAAAGGCAAGATAAAAGTGGGGAGGATCCTGAAAACATTAATGGGATTCACTTAGGATATTTGGAAATATGGGAACAGAACGACGATTACGAACTTTGTAAAGGAATTGAGTCTTTGCCACAAACTCTGATTTTTAAATCCTTATATCTTAACAACCCAATGTTGTAGACTTTAGATATTTCAAACTATGACTTCTGTTATATCAAACAATCAAAGTTTGAAATATCAAAGGTTTACATAATTTGGTTGTAGATATTTAGTTATTAGAAAATTGGGATTCGTTGCAAAGACTTAATTCCTTTCGACAAAAAAGGGGTTCTTCTCATTCAAGAGAAATTGAAATAAAAAAGTGTTTTAAATGTCTTTTTTCATGCATAAAATTAAAATTAGAGGAGCTACAAGGTTACAAAGTCATAACAGCAAAGTGGCATGAATGCCTTATTCTTCTGTCTGGTTTGCAGTAGCGTCATTGAAGGCCCTTTTTTAAACACAAGGCAAACTCAACGCCCTCCCCGTCCCCACCCCCGGGACTTTGTAACCTCGTAGTTCCTAGTTCCGATTATAATTAATTAAACACGTTAATTGTTTATCTGGTAAAAACTAAATAAAAAGTTTGATTATTAAGCTTACCTTTAATCCTTCACAGCTCTGAACAGGATCTAAATCCTTTCCTCTATTCACTGTCCAGCAAACTTCACTAAATATCAGAACATTAAGGTGACTGATGACGTTAATTCAAGTGATATTTCTGGATTCTCAGCTACACCCTTTAAACCAGTGTCTGAGGAAAAACAATGAAAATATCCTCGGTTAACTTCCAATAGTAATTATTCTATAAACGTGATTTACAGGTGCAGATGCAGCCGAGACAAAAAACCTAATTTACAGAAATAAACAATTTTTAAGTTGTAAAAACGACTGAATTTTCCTATTTTTGTTAGGAAAAAGATTTTATGAGTACCGTTGTCAAACGGACAAACCACGCTTTTGGAATGGAGTGCATAAAGTTTCTTTCAGTGCTTAGGATCCGGATCCGCTGGATCCGCAAGATTTTGGCTTCCTGGATCCAGATTTTCAAAAATATCCGGATCCACGGATTCAGATCAAATATCGAGCAAAAACTAAAAAAAATTGTCAGCTCTCAAAACCAAAATCTGAACTTTTGAAAAAAGAGAGATTATAAAATTTCATGATTTCTGAATGGTTCATCAAGTTTTAGCATAAAAATAAGCGAAACAAATAAGACACAAAACTTGAAAATTCTGCTTTTGTTAGAAAAATTCAGTAAACTTAGCGATCCATTTTTTTCCAATGCGGATTCAGGATCCGGGAACGGATCCGCATCTAGACCCGCATCAAAGTTAAATGGATCCTAAGCACTGGTTCTTTTAAACAATACGGATATAATCGGCTTTTAAAGAGTCTATCAGCAGTGTGTACAAATCTGCTTCTATCTCAATCCATATGTAATATTTATACAGATGTAAAACATTCAAAAGGTCTTAAGATTAGATAATTCAAATATTATCAATATAAAATTGTTTGAAGTCACAAGAATTGTAAACCCGTTAAACCCAATTAGAATGTAAAACCTAATAAGGCACCTGGAAAATAAAATTTTATTAGTCATTAGGAATTTATTTTTTATTTTGAAGTATATTTCAAACTAAGAATGATTTACAGAACTGTGAGAACATAAAATATAAATAAACTTCATCTAGTTAATTCCGTAATCCGTCCTCCCACAACCATAAAATTAAATTTTAAACAATTTAAAGAGGGATATTCCAAGTTCACAACGTTACGCATAGAACCTTTGAATAATAATCGAGGACGGAGAACTCGGTGTATATATCTCTTGAATGCTCAATAAAGTGCACACATATTAAAGTGTACGCTAGCGTACCGTGTGAACTCACAACAGATGACGTCACATTTAGGACTGGAAAATCTAAATAATCTTAACACGCGGTTGTCTAAAATTTGAAAGTGAATATTTACATCTACTTCTAGAAAGTAAGTATTAAAATTCCTTGAATTCAAGAAAAGTCTGCCGTCGTTGATCAGCTAAAGGTTTAAAGGGTACCGTTGTGGATCGAGGATGCCCCTCTTGAAATGGAAGGTTGGTTGAAATTAAGCGTACAGTATAACCCCCAAAACCAAAGTTTCTAATTACACTGAAATGAATTTACCTTAACAGTCCTAGATTGTTAAAACCTCTGTAGAGGGCTCCGACCACTAACTCTGGATACAAGTTAAACCTCTTGAGTGTGTTTATTGTATCCGGATACTCAGTCACATTATTCCTGACAGGAAAATATTAATATTTTATAAATTTTTAGGCTAGGCTGTACAGCTTGTACAGGCCCAACTACTTACTAGGTTTTCTTTTACATTGAAAATTTAAAATGTCTGATCTCTCATACACAGCTTACTATTAAATAGAACATATCTAAACTCATTAAAAAAATTAGTAAAAAGTTTGAAATTTTTATTTTTTATTTTATTGAATTAAACTTTAGGATAATAAAAGAATTAAATAAAAAGTACTCTGATTCACCAATGATAAAATTCCGCGTTTTTATTTATTGAAATCTAATATCTATATAATAAAACAAGACATTCGTATATATATATATATATTTGGCCTATAGCCGGCCAAACGGCTGGACCGATTGGACTAAAGAAATTGTAGACACTCAGGGGTGTTACAGGCTAAAAAAACGAAATATTTTTTCTAAATTTTTTATTCATGGGCAACGCCGAGCCCTTCAATTAGTATAATATATGACAATATATTTTTACCTGTAAAGTTTATAAACCCCCTGAGTCAATGATTCAGAGGAAACAATAGTTTTAAAGTAAGAATAGTACAGACCCATCTCAGTCCTACCAATACAATAAATCTAACAAGTTGAGGGGGATAATACAGGTATTCTTGTTCATCGTTTTCCTTCTTTTTAAAAACTTAAAATAATAAAATGTAAAAGATTTTAAAACTGTAATAGGTTGAAGTTTGTTTTAATAATATTTTAAGAAAAATTATGCAAAAACGATCGTTAAAACTACACTTATTTAAATCGATCCTTTTTGGATCTTTCTTTGTTTATTAATCGTATATTTTCTGTCAGAATTTGGAATAGTGTAAAAAATGCAAATCTTTAGAAAAAACATTGTCTTTCTTACGTCATGCGAAATGAATTTTTTTTTTGGCAAAACACGAACCAACTTAATTCATATCACTAAATACAGGGCTTCAAAAAAGGAAATGACGGAGTCTATTTAATTATTACACACATAGATGCATGCAGCGGTAAACTGGGGTGTTTTTTAACCAGAGCTGGGAACTTTTGAATGGTGGATATCGGGTTTATTACTTGATCTCCTCTTTTTCTTAATCTTGAGATTAAATAATGTTTGTTCTCCTCTTGTTATTAATCTCCAAATTAATTAACCGATCGGGATTAAGGATATCCCATTCTTAAGTTCCCAGCTCAAATTCTTTAAGATGCCATAAAAAGACTTTAAGCTGGAAAATTGAATTAAATTAAGCTAAAGGTTACCATCAAGTCTCATCATTTGAGAGTAACTCCTTAGCTTTCTAGAAAATCAATTGACCCCCTGATTCCTGATTGACAGATCGAAAATTTTCTAGGCCGCATTTTATAAATACTCTATAATCTTTACAAGATTTCCTTAAATAGATTTAATTCCTGAAAGTCATTTCTCTCTCCATATTTGACAAATGGCTAAAATGTCGATCATTCTCGAACAACGAGGACACGTGGTAGTGGTTTACCCCTCCAAGTACAATTGCTAACAGAACAACCAGACATTTATTTCCGGTACTCCAGTGGGGCTCCTCCTGTACAATATACGATATAATAAAACTGTTTAAAGGGACTGTACGCGTAATTTCAAGTGGCCCTCCATGCAAAGAGGGCAATGCCCGATTTACAACGGTATCCTTAAAAGCTTTGTCTGATCAAGTATGCATAAAATCTTAATATTTGTAATTTGTTTGTGTGGTTTCTCTACAAAAGTGACTAGCGCATTTCTACTGCAGGAAAAGATATAGAAAAACTAAAATATCTTCCAAATTACTGATTGGATAAAGGTTTCAAGGACACCGCTATGAATCGGGCATTGCACTCGATCTGTTGCATCAAGGATCATTTGAAATTAAGCTTACAGTCCTTACAATCAGATACGTCTCATCTGTTAATCTAAATAAAAATTCTCCTCTTGACCCATAACGCTACATTGATCATCTTTATTTAAATTCCTGGGATCTTTATGGATAGTGAGAAGTATAGTTGAACTACGTAGACTAATTTGAACCCCTTATCTCTAAGTTAAACTGACGACCCACAATAGAAGCGGGTAAAATACGTTTACATGGTTCAAATAGATCTACGTAGTTCAACTACTTCTCGCTATTCATTAAATCTGGTCCCAGGAGAAATGGGACTAAGGAGAGAGGAAAAAAGATTGTTATTATTATACTGTGACGTATTAGGACAGTCCTAGAACTAGTTTTATTGTAAACAAACTTCAGTTTTAGAAGCCATGTAAACACTGTGTTTTCAATCTTTTTTTACTGTAAACAATGAAAGCTGCCCTTATGCGACACAGTAGAACGACCACAACCCATTGCTTAATTAATTAGTTAAATTATTAAACAATAATAATAAAAGGTGAAGTATAATTCGTAGGTGCAGAATTTTTGATGATTGTGATGTTGATAATCCCAAAAATTGATAAATCCAGTTCCTACGCCAGCTTTAACTGCAGATTTGATTAAATAGAAACCTATTCTAATTTGAAAATGACTTGAGTAATTGGATTCTTTTCAGACCTCTTCAAATCAAACCAAATCAAACCAAATCAAATCAAATCAAATCAAATCAAATCAAATCAAATCAAATCGAATCGAATTAAATTGAATTTAATTGAATCGATTCGAATCGAATCGAATCGAATCGAATCGAATCGAATCAAATCAAAATCAAATCAGATCAAATCTTTTACAAGAATGTGATGTTCGTAACCCAATGATAATAAAATATTAAAATAGTAAATCCTTCCGATTTATAAAGAAATACTATAAAGAACAATAACTAAATAAGTTTAAACAATTTGCTCAACTTTGCATTATTTTGTATCAAATATTCTTTAAGCTGAAAGTTTTGCAAATCAATTAAAACTTTTTAAATTTGTTTTCTTACCTCTTTTAAATTTAATTTTACATGAATCTTTTTCTTCTTTTCTTTCACCATTTTGTCTGAAACAACCTAAATAGACTAAAGGGAAAAGGTTGGATGTTATTTTGTTTATACATATAAATCTACATTTAGAGATTGATTAAAAAATTTAAAATAATGATAATGTATCACACCGTGAAGGGGTACTTATTCTATTGTAAATTACATCATAGTCATGTTAAATATCTGAACAATCCCGTTAAGATTCTCTTCTACAGTTCTAATCTCGGAAGTTGTTTGATTCAATATTCTGCTTGTTGTTTGCCATCGACATACGGAGATACTCAGCTGAGTGCTCGTGAGTGTACCAACCCTAAACAATAAATTTTTCTTCAAAATAAAAAATGTATCTTTATACCTGTCTTCTGCTATTATAAGTATAATAAAAACTCACAAAAAGATTTTTAAATAACTTTTTGGCAAATCTTTAAGAAAGGAACTGAGTCTTTGCCACAAACTCTTATTTTCTTATTCCCAGATATTTGCAATCTAATGTCATAGACCTTAGGTATGAATTTTGTTTTATCAAATAATTTAAGGTTTAAATGTCTAAAGTTGCAAAGACAGAGATTAGAAAATTTGAGTTTGTATCAATGACTGAATTCCTATAAAAAGACAAAATGACTTTTGTGGAACATCCTTGTTTCAGAAATTTGTTTGATTTTTCTTAAACTCACCTTGTAATCTCCCTTAACCTTCATCTGCCTGTGAACTTCCTTCTTCAGCAAATACATTCTTTGCTTTTTTATAGTAGATATGAAAGGGACTGTATCCTCCCACACACTAAACAGTTGATATGAAAGGGACTGTATTCCAACCACACACTACAAATGGTAGATATGAATGGGACTGTATTCCTCCCACACACTATACAGTAGATATGAAAGGGACTGTATTCCTACCACGCACTATATAGTAGATATGAAAGGGACTGTATCCTCCGACACACTATATAGTAGATATGAAAGGGACTGTATCCTTCCACACAGTATATAGTAGATATGAAAGGGACTGTATCCTCCCACACACTATATAGTAGATATGAAAGGGACTGTATCCTCCCATACACTACATAGTAGATATGAAAGGGACTGTATCCTCCCGCACACTATATAGTAGATATGAAAGGGACTGTATCCTTCCATACACTATACAGTAGATATGAAAGGGACTGTATCCTCCCATACACTATATGGTAGATATGAAAGGTACTGTATCCTCCCACACATTATATAGTAGATATAAGGGAGTGTATCCTCCCATACACTATATGGTAGATATGAAAGAGACTGTATCCTCCCACACACTATATAGTAGATAAGAAAGGGAGTGTATCCTCCCATACACTATATGGTAGATATGAAAGGGACTGTATCCTACCACACACTATATAGTAGATAAGAAAGGGACTGTATCCTCCCATACACTATATGGTAAACATGAAAGGGACTGTATCCTCCCATACACTATATAGTAGATATGAAAGGGACTGTATCCTCCCACACACTATATAGAATATATGAAAGGGACTGTAGGCATAATATCAAGTGATTCTCCGTGCGAAGATGGCAGTGCCTGATTCACAACGGTACCCTTGAAACCTTTATATGATCAATAATTTGGAATATATCGCGAGTTTTTCATGTGAAATTGAGGGTCACATAAGTAGACAAACCTCAATTGAAATTTTTTTTTATTATAAACTTGATGACTAATTCATACTTTTTTTTTAAAAGAGATTTTTTTGTCCCCAGGACATGATCGGGTTGTTACGATCAAATCTCGGAATTTTTTCTATTGCGAAAGTTTGGTGTTTTCTGGGTTTTTATATTGATCTACCAGGGGTTGTAATCTGGCAGCACATTCATCCATCCACGCTTCATTCATTCTGAGAAGAGGGTTGACAAGATTCCAGCTGCCTAAGATTCTTCTTAGGCCTGAGAATATAGAGTGCAGGAATCCTTCTGATATACTGGAATGAGGCCCGGGTGCCGTACTGATAGGAAACATCACACTCATTGCTCCCTAACATCTGTAAGCCCGGATTGGATACCCCCAGGTACCTATAGCTGGCAACCATAGACTCTCCCTGCTTGTCCACCATTCCTCTCTTCATTGTCATTCACTTGGATCAATCCCACTTGAAGCTTCTTTCTTGTTGAGCAGAAAGCACGCACCCTTTCGCTGCGAGAGTTTTTGACAGCCGCCCCTCTGTCCTCCTACATCCGTCAGGTGGTCATAACTGCTAAACCAGATGTCGGCTTCAGATGTTTTTGAAACCACAGGTTTGTGTGGAGTACGGGAATCGAACCCGTGAACACCAGCCTGGACACCAATCCAGTTACTGGCTGTGGACAAGTGTGCTTAACTTCAGTGATCTAACGAGAACTGGTGTCACACACTCTCCACCCCACCCCACAAATCTCCACCCCACCCCACCCCACAATTCATACTTGATCAAACAAAGCTTTTAAGGGTACCGTTGTGTGAATCGGTGTAGTTTTTTGTTTTGTAACAAATTGGAGATTTTTTATTTTAATATTTTTTACAAAATTAATCTTAAGCCACTAGTAATTGATACATACCGAACATCTTTCCAATAGCCCCCCCCCCCCAGGAAAAAAAACTAATATGCAGTTCTGAACATAGCCTAATCTAGTAACAATCTATTTTAAAGGTTGGGAAGCGAGGTCAAAATATATTTTGGTATTATTTATTCTTATAACTTACTATGAAAGATGGGCTTCATATTTCTCCTGATAGCTCGTGAAAATATATTTGCATAACCATCTAAAAATACATAATAAATGTTAATATTTATGATCATAAGATTACATCTTTGCCACGATTTTTGCCGTCTTGACATCTTTTGGATAGAAACAAAATAACTTTATCAATACAATATACATATAATATACATTACATAGATATAGAAGTCCCTTGGACACACTGCTGAAATTACCTGGTTAAGGGATGTTTATGGTATTCGTATTCCTTGGGAACATAACCTTTAATATTAACGCTTTACAACAAGAAAACACAAATTTGATATTTTGAATAAATGGGACTGTAAGCGTAATTTCGAGTGAACCTCCATGCAAAAATAGCAATGTCCGATTTGCAAATGTACCCTGAATACTTTGTCTGATCAAGTGTGTATTAGATATTTTTTGTTTTTGTTTCTTTAAACTGTTCATTTTCATTATTTTTTTGCGAAAGTGACTGGCGTATTTCTTGCTAATAAGAATTATTGTAATGGAGAACATTCAGAATGAAACACTTTACGAGTATCTTACAATTTTTTTTTTTTATCAAATCATGGTTTCAAAGGTACCGTTGGAAATCGGGTATTGCCCTCTCTGCATGGAGGGTCACTTGAAATTAAACTTACAGCCCCTTTAATGAAAACTTATTTGTAATATCTGCTGAGGGATTTAAAAATGTTGAATGCGTTCCTTCAGGAATAGGTTTAAGTACAGCTGGGCCCTGAAGAACGTTGGCAACAGTTACAACAACAGCAATGGGTACAGCGCCGAGCATGAAATAAAAGTGCATATTGTCCTTGAAGATCTCGTAGTTCCATCTAAACAAAATTTTATCACGTTATTTAAAGAAAAGGATAAAAATAAATGATAAAATTGTTACCTTGAGGGTCGGTTCTGGGCAATGGCATGTCCTCCACCGAATCTGACCGGGGTTTTTAACACACCCTTCAGGTTTTGCAGGCGGGAGAGGATCGCCATTTTCTTTTCTGAAAATACGATAAATCCTCAAATTTGTTTTCACAGTATGAATATCAGTGTAAATAAATCCGCCAAAGAAGAAGCAGAACGCCGTATAAAAATAATCAGCGCTGCCACAAATTACAAAAACTTAATTGAATAAAGATTATTTGTCTAAAAAATCCTTTGCTTCGTTTATTTTTGCGGCAAGGTAGGGAGAGCCCCCTCGGTCAGGATGGTTCAAAATCATGATCTTCTTGTGAGCTTCGCGAATTTTCTTGATATTAGCACCAGGGTTTACACCTGAAACAGATAGAAAATAAAAGATACATAAAAAACTATGTATCTAAGGAACCATCTTGTTTCTCAGATAACAATTTTTAGAGCACTGGTAGTAAATTGTTCGTGTTTATATCAGCCTAGAACTTATGTTCACTATACATCTAGACATATCTTATTATTAGGCTCATAAGCCTCTAAGATATTTTCCATCGTTATGTAGAAAAGTGTTGTATAATTTACCTAGGATTAGAGCTGCTTCTCTTTTGTTCATTTTCGGATCAAATCCACCCTAAAGGAGAAAACATAGGTTTTTTCTCCGAATAATTTACTTCAAAGTAAAAAGCATAAATTGATAAACAATGAATTGCGCAATCATTAATTTATTGAATATTTTTATCAAAATAAAAGCTGTTTATTATGAAATTTACTACAAGTGTGAATATTAAACATTTTCATAGATATACAAGTTTGAAGTTTAAAATACTTTGCAACGTTTCAAATCATAAGACTTCATGTCACTTTATGTCACTTTATACTGGTTTTGATTTTTCATAAAACAATGAGATATTATTATCAAAGCAGAGTTAAATGCCTGGAACTTAAATGGCCTGATATCTAAGGATTGATCGCATTATTATTATTATTATGCAAAGAAAAATATGAGCGTGACACAAAAAAAGTTCAATAAAAAAATTATCTTTTAAAACTTTTAAATATATCAAATCATCAAATCATCATGTTTAGGAATTGCTTTGGGCTCCCGCATATAACCTACCTTATGATATTTAGAGTTAGCCCATGATTCTGAATCCAGCTTGGGCATCGATGGCATTGTTCTCATTGCCTCCTCAACCTTCTGCGCCATCTTAATTTAAAAAAAAATAATAATAACCTGAGATAAAAATCCATTCCATTTTGAATTTTGATGCAGATCCGGATCTTGAGTTCATCCTGCAAAGAAATGGACCCAGAACCAGATCATATATATTTAATAGATTGAGGGGCTGTTAAGTGAAAGTCTAAGCGTAATTTCAAGTGACCTTCCATGCAAAGATGGCAGGGCTCAACTCACAACGGTACCCTTTGTCTCATCAAGTATCAATTGGATATTGAATTTTAAAATTTTTTTAATTGTGGTTTCACTTTAACCATGAAAAAAATATCATTCACATTTTTAACCAGATAAACGGTTTAAGGGTACCGTTGTGCATCATACATTGCCATTTTTGAAAAGGCCTCTTGAAATTTTTCCGAAAAAAAAACCCTTATAAATTTTCTAAAAAAAATACCTGTGGAGCTGATCTAGCAGCATATCTACCCGCGAACCCTACAGCAGCCATACCTAGCCCAGCCAGTATAATAGAGGAACCCATTCTTCTGTAATTTAATTATATATTAAAGGTTTATACGGTCATAACTAAATAATTTTAAACACACATACAAAAATGTAAGTTTCTACAAAACTGTCTGAAGAAAGGCATTTTTAAAACACTTTTTTTTGGTTTAAAAGAAGAGAATAATTTTTGTTTTTAAATAAAGCGAAAAAAATGATAATCTTAACAGATGTTAGTAAAAAATAATAAAATGATGATTTAACAGTATAATTTGCTAAAAGCTTAATCATAAGTTTATGGGTTATAACAAAACAGGTTCAACCCAACTGCGCAAAGGGAGAAATGAACAAAAAGAAAAGATAATAAAGAATAATTAGGTAGAATAATGACAATATGAAGCGTGTTGGTTCCAAAAAATATCACATTAATAAACAAAAAATTAAATCACAGTCACTTCCAGGGGTAAACATTTTCTACAGAGATTCTTCAGAGCGAATGAGAAGTGCAAGACCAATTCCGATTCTTAATATGCGTAAAATGCTTTAAATAGTTTGTCAACATTATGCTAAAATAATTATTGTGGAATGGTGTTTAAGAAAACTGTATGCCCCTTCAAATAGTTTCTTCCGTGTTTTAAACTGCTGAGAAAAATAGATTGATTGTATTCTAGTAGGAATTCTGAGACCACAAAAATACAAGTCTGAGGTATTTAAAGAGCACAGATAATCTGTGATCGCTCAACAAAATATTTAAGGTACGATATTGGAAGGAATGGTTTCGAGAATAAATGCTTTAAAAAACTATGCGCGATATCCTAACAAAAAGTCAATAGAAAATGCGTCAAATAATAAATTTTCACATAAACTCCAAAAAAATGAATATACTTTCATAAAAATCTATATATAAGATTTAGATTTATCTATTTGAGTAGCTGACTTATCTCTTCTGTCGTCTTTATATAATAACGCTTCAAGGATTCATCCTCAAACGTTTCCATATTTTTCGGTTCTTGGTTTCTGCCAGCAATATTCTTCAACTCCTGGTAAACGCGAAACAAATGTTCTTATTTATTTTTCAAATAAAAACGTGGATTTTGAAATAAATTTTTTGTTATTTGCTAAGATTTTACCATTATGCCGTATGATACTTAAGTTTTTTGTTCCGTTCCTGTGTGAATTGATCCCGCATATTCCCGAGTTCCTGTTCAACCTCTCGTTCCTTCGCACTATATGCCTGTTCCATTCGCTCCCTCAATCGTTCCAAGGTTGACCTAGTGTTTGATCGTAAGAACTAAGTTTTAAAGGGACTATAGGCTCACAGTTCTGTCGACTTAATTTTGAATGGGTAAACATTTATAGATGGATCAACATATCCGATTCATAACAGTACCCTTTAAACCATCGTCAAGGACGAATGAGATATCCTTACTTTTCTAGTAGAAATTTGACCATAATCCATTGTGGTTTATATTATAAATATGACTTGCAGAGCAAATACAGAAAATTGTCCGTATTTAAGACTTTCCAGCAAAAAAAAAAACTAAGTATTTTTCCTTCTGTTTCTCGAATAGAGGTTAACGTTGTAAATCGGACCTGCCATGTTTTAAATTGAGGGCCGCTAGAAAATAAGTCTACAGTCAGTCCCTTTAAATGTAAGTAATAGTCACCAAAATATAAAATAAAAAATTACAAAAAGGATCTTACTTGAACTCTGTCTCTAGTCTATTATACTCCTGCTTGTAATGGTTCTCCTTCAGCTCAACATGACGTTGATATTTCCGAACCTTAGACTTTAAACATCGATACTTATCAGAGATCTAAACAAAAATAAATTATATTTGATATTTGCTTCCATTCTACTAATATAACAATATTCCTCAGGGATATATTCTATGTACCTCATCGAACTCCTTCCTCTCCTTAATGTGGGTCTCCTGTATACTCCTGACCTCCTGCTCCCACCGCTGTGCCATCCCTGCCATCTCCTGCCGCGTGTTTTCCGACTCCTCTACCCTCCTCGCCAACTCCTCCCTCAATAGTTCTATATCTCCTTTACTCCTAAGAAAATAAAATTTCATGTCCGGATTCATATCAGAATTCATGTCTGGATTCATGATAGTGTTAATGACAGGATTCATGTCAGGGTTCATGACAGGATTCATGTCAGAGTCCATGTCAGGATCTTTCCCAAAGGCAAGATACAACATTCTACTTCTCTTGAAGCAAAATCAAATCATTCTACACCCACACCCCAAAATTGAAGTGACTATACTAAATCAATAATGAAGTGAGGTCTTACGATTTGTAATTTTTGCTATTTTCCACTTGATTATTCAAAAGAGTCTACAAGAAATTTTAAAATTTAAATCGACATTATTTGAACTGTTAACAATAATAAAAAACGCGCGAAACTAACAATTTCGAAACTTTTTCCCCAATTACGGCATTTCCCTTGCTCGGTGAGGATAAAAAGGCTTGAATAGGCTCGACTGATTCTGATTAGTACAAATCTATTGACCTTGGAAACCTACTTATAGAAAATAAACAATATCAGAAAAGATAAAAAGCTTTACTTTAGTGAGTCTATAATTCGATTTTTATCTTCCAACACACGCTTCCATTTCTTCAGAGCCAGGCCATATTCAGTTTCAATCTAAAAAAAAATATTCAATAACTACGTGATTTCTTATCAAATGTTTCACATAAAAAGGGCAACAACGAGAGGTTGTATCTATCAGAGGTGAGGGGGGCCAAAAAAAACGAGACCAAAAAACTTTTACTAAATAAGAACAATTTCTTTTAACCTTATCAAGTTTGTTTTCCGCTTCATTTCTATCCTCCTCACTCTTCTTTACTCTCTCCTCCAACCTTCCAACCTCATCCTCATACCTTTAATAAACAGGGGGTTTTATTCTCTGTAGCAGTAATTCTACCCCCTCCCCCAGAACAAAAAATGGAATAAGTTCAGTTGGATCTTAAAACTTAAATTAACAGTTTTTGGTCCATTTTTCTTTCCTTCTTACAGATTTAACAGGATGATTTAAATTTCAAGAGAGCTTGTTTAATAAAAAAAAAATCAGCAAACCGACAAATTAACACAAAAATCCACAAAGAATAAACCAAAAATTGAAAAACCAATTTAAAATTGAAGAACAAGAAGAGAACCAACCAATGATCAAACAAATTAATGAACCAACCAATAAACAATTCAGCCAATCAAAGAAGTAATCAACCAACCATACAACCGGCCATTAACCAATCAATCAATCAATCAACCAACTAATCAATCACAAATCAATCAATGAATAAACCAATAACCAGCCACGCCGATCATCAAATAATAAAATTAACGCAACCAACCAATAAATCCACTAACATTCTTAAAAATAACATGGGAATCAATCAACAATTCTAAGTTTATAAAACTAATACTTAAAATGTATAGCAACTAGGACAGAATCCTAAAATGGACAGGATTGGATTAAACAAAACATTCAATCAACATTGCTGTGGTCGGCAGCTCCTGGCTTATCATGGCCCACAACAGGCTCATCAAAAATCCAGTGTAAAAACTTCCTTTCTCCTCCGAAACTTTTTATAAAAACATCTCAATCTCAATTAAATTTCCTAAAATGATCATCCTTGGTTTATGTGTCTCGTGCTTCATTGGAATTAAAAAAGAAGTATGACAGAAGGAGATGGATTCAAAAATGAATAAAATATGTAACCAACCAACCAACCAACAAACCAACCACCCACCCAACCA